TGGGGTTGGTGGGACCTCATGGGTTGGGTTTTGGGGGTTAGGAGGTCCTGCGTTGGGTTTTGGGGTTGGTTTGGGGACCACATGTGTTGGGTTTTGGGGTTGTTGGGACCTTGTGTGTTGGGTTTGGAGGTATTCGAGGTCCTGTGTTGGGTTTTGGGGTTGGTTGGGACTCATGTGTTAGGTTTTGGGATTGGTTGGGACCTCATGTGTTGGCTTTTGGGGTCTTGGAGGTCCTGTGTTGGGTTTTGGGGTTGGTTGGGAGTTCCTGCGTTGGGTTTTGGGGGTTGGTGGGACCTCATGTGTTGGGTTTTGGGGGTCTTGGAGGTCCTGTGTTGGGTTTTGGGGTTGGTGGGACCATGTATGTGGGGTTGGTAGGACTCCATCTATTGGGTTTTGGGGTTGGTGGGACCACATGTCTTGGGTTTTGGGGTTGGTGGAACCTCGTGTGTTGGGTTTTTGGGGTTGGTGTTGAGTTCTGAAATGCTGTAGCGGCACCTGCGGGGTTTTAAGTCTTCCTGAATCCCTATTTCTTCCCTTCAACCCCACAAACCTTTCGGGTTCCCACCTCCAACCTCCCCTCCCATCATCCTCCAGGTGGACGCGCCGCGAACAAGCTGACTTCTACCGCGTGGTTTCCACTTATGGGGTGGAATTTGAACCCGAAACGCGACGATTCCGTTGGGGTCGATTCCGTGCCCTGGCCAGGCTGGAAAGGAAAACGGATGAGAGTTTGGCCAAATTCTTCCACGGGTTCGTGGCCATGTGCCGTCAGGTCTGCCGACTGCCACCGGCACCAGGAGACGGTAGGATTTAGGGTCGTGGCCCTATAGAGGGGAAGAGGGGTGGATGGGGTGGTGGGGATGGGGGTTTGGGGTGTCCCAGTGGGGTTGAAAGGTGGTGGGGTGCGGGGTTTCCCCATTGGGACGTTGGTTGGGGGCATTTCTGTAGGGTTTGGGGTTGAAAGGTGGTGGGGTGTGGGGTTTCCCCATTGGGACATTGGTTGGGGGAATCTCTGTAGGGTTTGGGGTTGAAAGGTGGTGGGGTGTGGGGTTTCCCCATTGGGATGTTGGTTGGGGGAATCTCTGTAGGGTTTGGGGTTGAAAGGTGGTGGGGTGCGGGGTTTCCCCATTGGGACGTTGGTTGGGGGCATTTCTGTGGGGTTT